GCCCTTGACCAGCATCCGCGCCTGTCCACTAGGATGCCTTGGGTGTGGACCAGCAAGCCTGTTGTCAGAGTCAACTGGATTGGATGACAGCCAAGTCTGGGGGCGTTGGTGATTGTCTGTATTAGAGACTGCATGCCCGCTTGCCCCCGGCCTCTCGGGAACCCTGAGTACTTGATTCCTCTAAGTGGGAACTGCGGAAGAGCTAAGCGCACCTAAGTCGCTACAACTCGCCCCAGACACCGAAAAAGGTGAGGGGGCGACAGATCGACGAAGAGTGAAATTAATTATTAAGGCGCTACAAATCCATTTGGATAAATATTGCTGAGGTCATGAGGCGGACTCGTTCGCGCAGAAAAGCTAACATGCGTAGTGAAAAATACGGGATAGATTCAGGGCGGACTTTCAAAGGTATTTTGCCGGCAGTAAATGGCAGATGGGTGAACTTACGGACTCTGATGGGGCGCCGGCAAATTTTGGGCTAATCAGCAGGAGGGTTGTACTAGATTCGAAGAAACTAGCTCCACCATGACTGCCCTGATCGCTCATCCCGTGATCTCCTGTGATTGCAAGGAGCCAGTCTTTTCTGCCAGATGCGTTCTATAGGGAAAAACAAAAGCCAAAAATCAAGTTGGAGTCAGTGAATCCAAATCCAAAGAAAATGTCTCCACTCAATGAGCAATGCACCAATCGACCATTCACATGACATTAATCTGCGAAATTTGCGACTAATGTCCAAGCTGTCGGAAGATGGCAGTTCGGAAAAAATCACCATGATCTCTGTTAGGGTGTGAGATGTTGTACAGAAAATTTCCTCTATTTCGTCCGTAAACTGCTTCGTTTGATTCTGCTGTAAGGATAGGTTATATAAGTCTCCTCGAATTTAAAACCTTGTTTGGTTTATTACTTCATAGCTCTGAGAATAAATCTTTTCTGTGTTTACTACCGCGTTCGTGAAACGGCAATTACAGAGTTCTTTTGTGGTGCTTTCCCTTATTCAAATTTAGTTAATTTATTGTGAATCATTTTTTTGGCCTGATAGCGTCTTTGAGGGTATCCAATGCCAACGTTCACGACCCATCACCGTCAACGGTGCGTCCTTACCGCTCGCCCGCAAGCCCAAGCTCCTTGGCGTGCGTTTCGATCCGCTTTTCACGTTCGCA